GGACATTAAATGCTAAAAATGCAAACGATGCCTATTTTTGTAATTTTTATTTTTTTGTAAAACAAACTTAGTTATTAACAATTGTATAATTAAATCCTACATGCGAAATGCGACATATTTTTGTATTTTTAATAATTTAACAAATAAACATGCACAGACAAACATACAAATAGTTACACAAAATATCACAAAATTGCACACCAAGAAAAATTATTTTATTTTTGAATTTTTTGGGAGTAATTCTCATATAGGGAAAAAATACGTGCTTACAATAGGGGATCGGGGCGTTAATTCTTAAGACGACCGGCCGGATCGTCACACTCATATAAAGAGTACAAATTTTCGTACGCTGAATTCTTAAAATGGTAAAAATATAACCTTCTTTTCTTGTGAGAAAATAATTTCTATCTTTACAATAAAGAAAATCTCATAAACTTTCTCATATTATATGTATAATTTAAAGCATATTCGAAAGTAGTCATATTAATAATTATATAAAATCATATTTTTCAAACTTTTTACAAAAATGTTTCACTCAAAATACCATATCAAATGTATATAATGGTATCAAGGTTGTTAAACTTATGAGGTCTTACAATAATATAGTCACAAATCCTCTATAATCTCATGAATGATCTTAATCCCTTCAAGCTCATACAGATTACTACGACTCATTCTAATATTAAAGTATGGGATGTAATAGTTGATCTATCTCCTTATCAAAATGTTCATATACAATATAGATAGGCAATAATACAGGATGTATTCATATATGCATACAAAATAATGACAACATGTATTTATGTATCGGATTTTAGTGAATATAACTAAATATGGCAAACTAACAAAAACTTACAATCATATATATACGGAAAAATAATAAAAACTTACGGTCATACATGTACACTACGCCTCATTCAATGTTAGCATCTCTTGATTATTTTTCCCAAGCATTGTGAATGAGTGTGAAACATATTTTTGATTACTGCAATTCCAAAGTCCAAACATCTTCCTACCTTATTCTAGGAAATCATAGATTGACAATTCTCTTGCTGATACAAGTGTTGAATTGATTAAATCAGCAATATTTGATGTCTTAGTCCATCCTCGGTTAATAGGTGAATACAACCTAGCCCATTTTTCGTATCCATCTAACTCTATGTATTCTTTCACCCGAATATCCACCTTCTCCACCTTTTCCATTAGACTATCAAATTCATTCCGGGTGTATGCCTTTTCCATTGAAAAGTATACTTCACTCAATCTCTCATGACTCCTTTTGAATTTATTGTATACATTGTTCCAAATATGACATATGCCAACAAAATGCGGTACGATAGGATACACTCTAGATACAGTTTTGATGATGCTCTAATTCCTATCAGAAACAACGTACATGTTTCCCGTTCTCCATAAGCTTCCTTGAACTGCTCAAAGAACCACAACCAAGCAACATCATTCTTTGAATCAGCTATGCCATATGCTAGTGATAGGATATGTCATGCACATATAATTAAATACTAGAAGTTCAATACATATGTATTTATTACTTAGAAGACCAATTTGTATGTTAGTGTATCATGTATGTATTCAAGTTGTAGTTAATTGATTTACCTGCACCATACAACGTGCTAGCCGAAACAAAAGTCCCAATATATACTGATTTGAGGTGGCTGTCATCTACAACGACGATGGGTCTATAATAATTGAATCCTTTTATAAAAGCATACAATGATATATACAGATACATGAACTCATTTTCAGGCTATTTTTCCATTTTCATATGTGAACTAGGATATGTTTGTATCCAAGGTGTATAAGTAATCCAGTAATTTATTGTAAGAATCAGTCGGTTCCTCTCTCAAGAAATTCACTGCTTTTTCTCTAGCGCGCCTCGCGAACATGTAATTGACATCGACACCAAAGTCTAATTTCACATCATCTATTGTATCCTCTAGCATGTATTTTCTTTTGTGATTAGTAAACTTGGATCTAATCATGTCCCCAATCAACCTACTAGTTTGTTGACGTTGTGAATACACTTTATCCTTCAATTGACATGTATGCTTATCATGGAACTCTCTCACTTTGAACATTTTGGATTTGTTAATACTTGAAGCCTTAAATTTCCATTCACAATGTTAAGAAACACATATAAAGGTATAACTACAAATACAATTTGAATACACATACAATCAATTATGAATTCACAAAAACATACAATTATGAATAGACAAAACACATAATGACATACAGAATATATTATGCAGTTCTAATATGTAAAAGTAGTCAAATAGTAAATTTATTCTTATAAATAGATAAGTATATAAACACCATAACTTAATAGCATTTGACATCTCAACCAAAATTGAAACCTCGTAGCAATTGCATATTGCTCCATCACAGGCTTTAATGTCGCCTTATCCTTGTATACTTGTCCTTCCATCACCTCTTTTTGATTATTATTCACAATAATAAATCCTTTTCCGATTTGAAAACTTCAATTGGTTCACCTGAGTTTAACGATGCCAGTGCAAGTGTATCACTTGTATCAAATATATGCACACCATCAATGTATTCAAGTTGCACTAGGTCACTTTAAATTGCACTTCCTCCATCTGCAATTTCTTTCTCCATTGTACTTATACACAATGGATACATTTTGAATTTCATGTTCTTCTTTTCAACTCTACATATACCCTGGAACCTATATCGTTGTGTATTTTCATAGTCGTACAATTTTCTTGTACTTTGTATTCGATTTTAATTGACTTCAAACTCAAGTCTATAGCAAGTTGCTTCAAGATTGCAACGACTAAATCACTGTATAAAGCATACTCCTTTATTACTATCCCCCTCTATTGAATAATCGACATAACAATTTTTATTGTTCTACTTCCCGGAATATCGAATTAATACTGTTAAGCTTGCCATCAGTGTATTTGCATTCAAAACTTAATCAGGAGACAGTGAATTCGTAAATTCAATTACTAATTCTTCTGTTAATACATGTATCATGCCGGACGAAAATCAATCCTATCAATATCGGTCGGATCACAACCTCGAACACACTCCATAAACAATATTTGATGTATCGCTGAAGCTTTATCTCCACATCTCAATGCATTTTTGTAATCTTCGAATACAATGCTCTGTTTTTATTTAAACTTCCGAAAAAATCTTCTGATTATAGAATAATAAAGAGCCGTGTTTCAATTGAGTATGTTGAGATCGTTTCAGCATGATACACGCTGCTTTATTGAGCTTTCAGTTATTAAACAGATGTAATTCCTATTTATTAGGCGAATTACCTCACTGTATTTATAAATACAGTCGCGCGAATATATGAAATACAATCGGGTAGCAATGAAATTGTAGCTACGGCCGGTAAATATAGATATTGTAGCTATAGCACGTTAATAACCACTTAACTATGGTGGTTTCTGAAAATTCCTTATATAAAATTATAACAAGAATTTTACGGCCCATAAATATAAAATTGGAACATAAATGGCCCCAGGTAGCTACTTTTAGCACCTATATTTAAACATATTAAAAAAGTATTTAATATTTAGCCATTTTGACAAATTCCAAACTGCTGAAACTTTAGAATTGAAACTTTAGATTCGAAATCTAAAGTGCGAATTTTAGGCGGCTAAACTTTAAATTTTCTAAATTTCTATTATTCTTTAAATATTTGTTCTAAAAATGGTGCACTTGGCCAAAAAGGCCTAGGTTGCAATACTCTGAGGAAGTGCACAAACAATTAGTCCAATGCTGCGTTTTAGGAATTAACTAATACTTATTTCATTTTAAAAATTTAAATTATATTTTTTATTTTAGGACAATTCAGAATATTTATGTCTCAAAAAATTAAATTAAAAAATTAAAATTCAAAATACATTGAGTAATTTCTAAAGTCATTTCTACCGATACTTTGCAGTGTGGCCACTGGCCACAGTAGGCGCGAACGCGAGCAAAGTCAAGTCATCCATCAAAATAAAGCCCGCTTCCTGGCTTCTGCTACAGAGTTTTGAGAAGCAGCCACGACACCAATTTTGTCTATGCGGATAAAATAGCAGACACGTCCCCTTCATTCTCCCCTCTTTTGCATGTTCACTCCGCCAATAAACACACTCACCGAGTAATGCATCGACCAAACTTTTAATTTCCCAATCACAGACTTTGTAATACTGCAAAAATAAAGAAAAATCTCAAACAACGATGCGATTCTTATCGCGGAGAATTGGGACTGTTACTGCTAATGGAGATGGATGGATTTTGATGTTAGGTTTAGGCAAAAGAGGTATTGCGACGAGCTGTAGAGCTGTGTTGTGTCCGCGATTTGGTGGGCCCGAGGTGCTTGAGTTTCATCAAAATGTAGCTCTTCCTGATCTAAAACCTAATCAAGTGCTTGTTCGTGCTCGCGCTGTCTCCATCAATCCCCTTGATACCAGAGTCAGTTCAATTTTTATTTCAAATTTTCATTTCTTACTTTTGATTGCTATCAAATGTCGCGAAATTTACTTATAATATGGTTTTTATGTTTGTATTTGAAACTCATGTGTTTTACAGTAGATATGTTCCATCAGTTACTCCTGAATTTCTGCTTAGTGTGGATGGTTATATGTATCCTCTCTAATTTAAATAGGTAGATTTTCCCAATATATATGACGATTTCGGAAAATTGAGGTGTCTTAATAAAATGTGCTTGAAGGTGAATCGAAGAAAAAGGGATATATAGGGAATTGTTTGAGTTAGGTCAGATTCTGATGCCCGTGAGACATTCTAAGAAATCTATGGTTTTCATTTCTTTGTAAGAGAAGGCACGGAGAACTCGCTTTTGGAAATATTTCAATGAAATTGATCTATGTTATTGGCAGTGGCGGATGTGGCTTATTAGCTGCGGTGCAACTGAACCCAGTATTTTCGACACGGAACATTGATATATATATGTGAAAGCCCACTAAGTAATAATGTATTTTGAACCCATAATTTTAAATGTACAATAAGTTTTAACACTAATTATTTTAAAAGCTGAACCCATCAAGATTAAATCTCGGATCCGCCTATGATTATTGGCCCCTTTAAATTTCTTTGCTTATCCACCACTTGGCAGTTACTGAATGAGTAAACCTATTCTTTAACTTAATTATGTAATAAAGAGTTCTCTAAGCCTTTATTTATTATAAGATAAAAATATAGGACTTATTAAGTGGAAATCATGGTTCCTGATAAATACAGTGTTACTAGGAAGTGAATGCGATGCTGATAGCATCTAAAAGCAAATACAAATGCTTTTTTCTTTCTCTTTTTACTTTGTTAATACATACATCAATTCGATGTGGACAATATATTAGCTTGACGAATACCATAAATGCTAGCACATCTATTTCCTCAAAATATTTTAGTCTTATTTGTTCCTGGGTATCTTTGTCAGAGAAGTTCTGTTAGATTGAACATTTAGTAGATGCTTTAGTTTGTTTCAGATGAGAGCGGGATATGGACGTTCAATTTTCGAGCCACTTTTGCCATTGATTTTGGGCCGAGATATAAGTGGTGAAGTGGCAGCTGTTGGAAATTCTGTTAAGTCGCTTACCGTTGGGCAGGAGGTATTCGGTGCTCTGCACCCAACCGCTGTGAGGGGTACTTATACTGACTACGCTATTCTTGCAGAAGATGAACTTGCTCCGAAGCCAGAATCCCTTTCACATGTGGTACGTTTTCAGTTTGGGTACATTCGGTAACACCAGCTTCTTGAGGATAGTTTTATTTGCTTTTTATCTCTATTTGCAATCAGTTATAAAATCAGCATCTATCTTGTTTACCTACTATCTATCACTTTTCTTGGATGTCCTCTCACCCCTCTTTCTGAAGCTCATTGTTGAATGATTAGTTGTCCTTGTCAATTTTCATTCTTGTTATTTCCATCCCGTCGCACATCTTGGTGTTTTTCTACTTCAGCATGCTTAAGGTCCTATATGATGCTATTCTGCAGGAAGCCAGTGCCATCCCATTTGCTGCCCTAACTGCTTGGCGTGCGTTAAAAAGTACTGCCAGAATAAGAGAGGGGTATGTTTATGTTATGATAAGTTGAATTTTTTAACCACTGAAAACTTTCTTCTTTTTCCCTCTCTTATAGCCCTTTGTGATTTTTTTTTTTGGGG